TATCGACGGGCAGCCGGAACTGCCAAAGAATTAGTTGCGATCGCTAGAAAAAGGAGTTTATTCGTCTGACTTTTCGAGTTCTCGCTCGCTGATAAACTGCTCTGCCGCTCACCATCAATTTCAAGATCAGGGTCTGAAGTAAGAGAGCTTTTGAAATGATGGCAGCTGACCCAGAGATAACAAACCAAATTCTGACCGGTAGGTAAGAATAGGAAGAGAAAAACCTGATTACAGTTCTCGATGAAACTGCGGAAGACTGACAGAGAGTCAGAGCACGCGGGCGAACTAGACGAATCCTTATTCTGCCCTTCCAGAGCCAGTATTGAGAAGTTCCTGAGGGCAATGTCGACGTAAGGGATGTCTTTCGAAAGACACTGGCCTACCTAATTAGATCTCCATGTTCGGAATCTATTCTCTTCATCGATACTGAATAACAGCGGCAAAATGATGGCTGACTGGCTGTAGTGTCACAAGAGCTAACCCTGGACCTGATCTATTCATTTCTAATTTGCCCACAATATCAAACGCCCTCCATCTTTGCGAGCCAATCTTTTCCTCCCCTACGCCCCGTCGCCCGAAGGACGAAACAGGTGGCCTGGTTTTGTTCTTGATTTAGCCTTCACTGCTGGCTGATTTCTCTAGAATCATCTTCATTCATGGAATTCTCAGCAACTTCATTGACTTTGTGGCAACATTCATAGCCGTGGACGGATGGAATTTGCCTTGCCATTTAGGAGGTCGCAAACTGTAACTACGCTTTTTTGCGGTGTTGAAAGCGGACACGATCAAGTTTCCGCAACAGCAGCGAACGGACAGGCAAGAAACGGGAAGTGTAATAATTTTTGATGAAAAATGCAGCAAAATGATTGGAGAGTTTCCGGAGCCCACTTTTGATTTTCCTCCAAACTATAAGTTTTCAATCTTTCTGGTGGGGAAGACTCAGTCTGGCCGAAGTTGGGCACCCTTGTTTCAAACAGAACTGTCCTGGGTCAGATGTAGTTATGTAGTCCCACCTGAAGTAGACAAAGCCCAGCCACCTGTAGTAGGGGACCGGTGGTAATAGAAGTTTTTACAGGTGGAGCCGAGGAACGCACAGGTGACGAGGTCAAGTAGTTGTATGCGGAACGAAAAGCCACTGGGAGTGCGCGGCTGTACTTTGAGTGGTCGAGAAGTAGTTGCACTAACTTCTAGCCCTAACCCCTAACCCTGGACCCTAAACCTAGCCCCAACTCCAACCCCTAACCCTAACTCTAACATTATTTTTTCCATCAGGTAGGGCTACATAACCATATCTTACCCTGTACTGCCCAGCAGATGTTCGTCAATATCGCACACGTTTATTAATGTACCTAATGTAAAAAATATTTATTTGTCAAATAAACAAATTGCTGGAAAACCTTACCCAGGCCGGGCAGTTGTCCCTTACACACACTAAAGAATCCCTATACACGACGAAATGGAGGTCTGCGCGATGTTTAGATATGTAAGATACAAGTTAAACATCTGAAAGCCTAGCGGGGTCCTTATCGATGTCTAGCATTGTCATGCAGATGTTTGTGTCATGTGAATTGTCCGACTCATCCACAGTGCCTAAACCAGTCCTTCTGGGATAATCGTCCGCCAATTCCTTCAAGAGGCTATGTATAGGGCGTTAGCGTCCTCCGCTTCGGATCTCACTTCCACGAACCTGAACGTTGCAAATCCCTGTCCCCCTCTCCTTCCTTTCAGAGCCCCGTTCCCAGGCGTTGTTCGCGTAAGGCGGTTGCCTCTAGCGCGTGACATTTCAATTTGAACACATAAACTACAGAAATTCAAAAACGGCTTTTTATATTCACTCGGCGATCTCAAATAAGCGTAAATGGAAAAGACCACTGTCTGTCACTCGGTTAAAAAAGAAATTCGAACTCACGAGGACACACGGTTGGGGTCCGACCATTTCTGTATAAGGAAGAAATTCACACATCACAACAAAGGGCCATAAAAAACGACAAAGGCTCTTCGAAGCAACCCCGTGACTTTGTTTCTTTTCGCTTACTTTTTATGTTGGTTGAAGTGCTATTTGCGTAACCTCTACTGTGGCACAGTGGCTTTTTGTGTGACGACATCTACCAGCTTTCGTGTTTGAAGTCTAAGCAAAAAGCTTGCCAACCTGGTAAACAGTCTTAGGTTTAGAAAGAATTTTTTAGCATTTGCGTCCTCTGGCTGACAGCTCTGCACGGCTTCGCCTACTGGTAGTCAAAACACCTTTCCTAGGTAGGGTGACGGGAGTTGTAAGTGTGTTCATCGAGATGGCCACAATACAGTGCGTGACAGATCTCATAAAATGTTAGCCAAAATTCTGAAATTCGTTTTCGACTTATAAGGATTAATTGGGTGGGGTCGTAATATTGATAATCGCGGAATATGATCCTATGATACTTGGGACGCACCATGATGTTGGTTCTTGAATGCAATTCTTTGCGACTTCCTGTAAAAATTACACATGACAAAAAGGACCGCTTGAGTGGTATGGATTTTTCATATTTATTTTCGGTGGCATTCAAAACTCGGATATATTTTATAGTAAACATGCATAAAAACGCGCCTTCATTCACTCATTTGGTGGCAAATCAGACTAACTTTACAGCTTGCACTCGAAGAGAGGGTATGATAAGGTTTTAAATGTTTTTCAATTCCAGAATAATTTTGAGCCAGGTCAACCGTTGCAGCAGCGTATAGCGATTTACGTCTACAAGGTTTATACCTTCCGCGTAAGTAAAATCACGTATTTTTCTATGATTTTATGAAGAAAATAAGTACAGATAGTAAAGTGCTGCAGTGGATGCGGACTATGTTGTACACTTCATGAGGGGCATTAATCCACGCACAGATTTTTAGGCTGTAGGGATAAAGACTGCATGGCCTTGAAGAATCTCACAATTAGGAACTTTTTTTAAAACCGAAAGGTACACCTTCTTCGAGTACCAAATGTAAAGTCGGCGTGATTTGATACAAAATGAGCAAAATAAAGCGTACTTTGTGCATGTTTTCTAAAAAATATATTTGAGTTTTTAACGCCACCGAAAATAAATGGGAAAAATTCATACCACTCAAGCGGTCCTTTTTGCCGAGTGTAATTTTTACAGGAAGTCGCAAAGAATTGTATTCAAGAGCCAACATCATGGTGATTCCCAAGTATCATAGGACAATACTCCGCGATTATCAGTACTACGACCCCACCCAAGTGATCCTTACTAGTCGAAAACGCATTTCAGAATTTCGGCTAACATTTCATGAGATCTGTCACGCACTGTAAATATGCAGAGGATGCACCAGTTTCTAAGGGTGGGTGACAGTTATTTTTATTTGAAATAATAGAGTATATATGCACCCCTTCCGGTGATCGCCTTAGGGTCTACAGCAATCCTTGCTCACACATACGTTCACGAACCAAAATGTGTTCCTACGTTTATTAACGCTACTTGCAAGTACTTCAGTAGCACTATAATGATAATATCATGGCAAGTCCTAGAAACAGATAAAACAATACCATTCCTCCCCGGCATGCTGAGGAAAATTTGTCTCTTCTCCAAGTTCAAGGTTAATATAGTTGTATATTTCCACTTTTCTTTCAACCTCTGTACTCCTTATTGTCGTCCTTTTCTCGGGTTATATTTGTGACTGTTTAGAAACGATAGTACAATATAAAAATACTTGAAAAGACATTCACTGACCGGAAATAAGCATAAATACTCGTCTTCACTAAATGTTCTCTCGTAAAAATGCTGGGATCCACTGACTATTCACTTGTGAACCAAAGATTTTTTCGTTTTGTCCTGGGTTTTAAATGTTTATTCATATTGCCATAAAGTTCAACTTATCAGGTCCGCAAGGAGGTTGCGACGCCCCTATGCTGTGTTCTAATTTTGTGGAACGTCTAGTAATTAAGTTAATACTCCTTTAAAGTTGAATAAACACTATTCATTAGCGGGCATTCTGAAACTTACTCCCAGTGATAGGACACAACGCATAAAGCTAGCCCAGGTAGGTTGTAGTTCGATTTGTTACAGCGTACAGTCCAAGTGCGACTGAGCAATCTGAGGTGGGATATTTCTACCCTAAGAGGGGCGGACGACATCACCGTCCTGTCGTCGACAAAAACTCTTCTCCAAGTAGATTTTTCCTTTGGCGTCCGGTTTTAACACTTAAGAGCAGGCATAGCACAGTCTCTTCGTTCGCTTTTCATTGAATGCGTTACAGTTGACACGCAATTCCGTGGTGACCGTCAGTCTCACAGCGTGAACTTTCACTGAAGACGGAATTGATTTTCTGGGCTTGGACACGGCGAACACCGCGTTCTCGCATGGGAATACAACCGTCTGGATACGAGAATATGAACCCTCCGTACAACAGGCGGCCTCGCGCTAAATTCCGTGGGGGGGTACCTACCCTCGTGACCAAACATTAACTCTAACACCTACCCCGTCCCTCTCAACCTTGACACAACCCCCTCCCTGAACCTCATCCCCGAATACTAACCATAAACATGAAATTTAGAGCAAAGCAACCTGTAATACGAGGGGCCCATGTTTTTGTGTCCCACCGTACAATCTCTTTCCAACCTGAAATTCGGGCGACCGACGAACAAAATATGCATATGGAAAAGTGGTTACTCAAGAATTACAGACTGCTTTCCGAATACAGGTTAGAAGACTACGCTCAAATCTGATCAAAACACGGATTTTTCAAAACCTCCGTTTACCGTCTGATATAAAGCTTTTGTTCACTTAGGGGGTTGTTACGAATCTCCAGATACCAATCGGAAGCATCTGAGATAACAAGTCAAGGGGAGAGAGGCAACTTGGAGAAAGGTCAGTCAGTCAGTGTATTTCAGGGAAATAGGCTTACGCCTTTGAACCCCCTATTTGTACATAAAAAATCGATAAACAAGCAAAAATGTGAAGAAATTACAGCATTAAGTGAATGCATACATTGATTCACATATGTCACTGGTCTCATGGCTAAAAAGTCACATAGTCCGCTTGTTGCTGCAGCATATATCTGTCAAGGCTACATTTAAATGTCTCCACAGATTGAGACATAACAACCGTCTCGGGCTGGTTATTCCACCGTTCCACGACACGGTTGGAGAAGAAATATTTTCTCACATTCAGTCTACCCTGTGGCACACGTAGCTTGAAGGGATGTCCCCGGAGGTGAGTTGTAATGGCGAGTTGGAAAAAGTCATCGCGCTGAAGGGCACAATCCAAGCCGCGCACGATACGGAAAGTTTGTATCATGTCTCCGCGCAACTGCTTATAACTCAGAGGATAGAGATTAAGGTTAGTTAGGCGGATCTCGTATGGTAGTGCACTTTGACCTCTTATTAATTTTGTTGCTCGTCTCTGCACCCTTTCGAGCAGATCGTAATCCTGGTGAGTCCACGGTCTCCAGGCCTGAATTGCATATTCGAGATGGGGCCTTATAAACGTGCCGAAGACTTTGGTGAAGCAGTCTTCATCGAAAACTACGAATGCCCGCTTGATGGCAAATAGCATTGACGTTGCGGCCTTGGCCGCCTTACAGCATTGTGTAGAAGGCTTTAGGCTGTCTGCAACCCAAACTCCGAGATCTTTCTGAGTTTCTGCTTCTCGGAGTGGCATTCCGTTCAGATGGTATTGCCGCGTACTAGGGGTCTGATTTCCGAGGCGCAGAATGGCGCATTTGTTCAAATTGAAGGACAAGAGCCATCTGCGGGACCACTCGTCCAATCGACAAAGATTTTCTTGGAAGTTGATCTCATCGGCAGCATTCTGGATGACTTTCCAGATTTTTATGTCATCCGCAAACATGGCACAATCACAGTCCAACCCATCTACGCAATCATTGACGAACAAGAGAAAGAGGGTTGGTCTGAGCACCGAGCCCTGTGGGACCCCACTCTCTATGAAGGTGCACCTTGATTGCTGTTGTTCTACGCAGACAATTTGGGAGCGGCCGACAAGGAAATTTTCGATCCATTTGAGAAGCTTGCTACCGATGCCCATAATTCTCAACTTGTGTAGGAGACGCTGGTGCGGAACACTGTCAAACGCCTTCCGGAAATCAATATAGGCAACATGCACGGTGTGTTTTGCGTCCAGTGCTCGTGTCCAACTTTGCATTGTGTATAGCAAGTTCGTAACACATGATCTTCCCCTACGGAAACCATATTGTGCATTAGACAAAAGGTTGTGGGTTTCCAAGTAAACCATCAAAGCCTTTTTGATGGTTTTCTCCATCACTTTGCAGCAGATTGATGTCAGACTGACGGGTCTGTAGTTTGTCGCCAGGGCACGACTACCGCTTTTGTAAAGGGGTGTAATGTGGGCCGTCTTCCAGTCTGTGGGAAGAATTCCAGCATCAAACGATTTCTGGCACAGAAAGGATGGTGGCTTGGCCAGCTGATGGGCAAGCTCAAAGAGCAGCTTTGCTGGGATCTCGTCCGGACCGGGAGATTTACATTCCTTCAAGCTTTTCAGTTCTTCCAAAATCGCTTCTTCTCGAAACACAATATTTTCGATAGTGGGATCTCTCATGTTCTCAGAATAAAATGGGGTAAAGTCTGCTTCTCTTGTGAAAACGGATCGGAAAAATTGAGAAAAGTGCTCAGCCTTATTTGTACTGTCCGACAGTCCCAACAGTCCCACAGTCCCAACTCTTACCTGAGTTTTAAAAAAAAACAAGCGAAACAAGTGTTGCAGCACAACTGACGAGGACCGTGCAACCTTTTATCTAACCTGAGTCAAAAAAGTTCAGTTAAACCGAAAAACCATCTTCGACCATGCTCAAAGAGCCAAATGAAATGAGAAACCTACTCCCTGTCTAACATCCCTGCAATCGCATCCTCATACTGGCAACCCATTTTCGAGGGACTACTAAATACTCCCGCTGGGATAACTCGCATCATGGCTAGAAGGGTATCACAACGATAGGTTAACCAAGGAAAGCGTCGGGACATCTACGGCCACTGGCTCACCTAATCCAAGTGGTATCTCTGCAAAGGTGTTGGACTCACTCGCCTACTAACCGGCCTTCCGCCTCTCCAAAGTGCTTAAAGCGTCATTGGAGGCGGGGGTTCTGCATTTGGATTGGAAACAAGCCAACATAAACCCCATAATTAAAGGAAGCAACAAGATTTGACTATATGTCTTCAGGCCTCTTAAATATTACAAGTGCTTAACTGCGGCCTGTCGGATGCATTTATAAAAATGGAAGTGACGAAATGCGCCGACGAAAAAAACCTACAGTGCGTGACCTATCTCACGAAATGTTGGCTGAAATTCTGAAATGCGTTTTTGATTAGGAAGGATTACTTGGTCGCGGTTTTAATACTGATTATCTTAAAGCATACTCTTATAACAATTTAGACTCGGCAGGATGTCGGCTTTTAAATGCACTTTTTTCAATCTCCTGTAGAAAGCGTGCTGGGTAAAAAAAATGACTACTTAAGTAGCATGCATTTTTCCCATTGATTTTCGATGGTCTTGGAAATTCAAATATATTTTATTGAAACCACAAACAAAAATATTCTTTCTTTTTGTCAATCAATAGAGAATCATGTCTTCTTTATAGTCTATACTTAAGGAAGAATTATAAGTGGGTTTTAAAAAAGTTTCTAATTATGAGACTTTTTAAGACCGCGAAATGTCCATTCACATAAAATCGTACCTGGCCGTTTACCACTGCTCCTCATGAAATGTAAAACATGGTCCCCATCCATTGCAAAATTTTATGGACCCTGTATGATATCTCTTTAATGGCATAGAAAAATATGTGATTTTCTTTACGCGGAACGCATGCACCTTGTAGACTGAAATCACTAAGCGCTAATGCAACGAATGATCAGGCTCCAAATTATTCGGCAATTAGAAACTTTTTTACAACCTAATTATACTCCTTCCCTAAGTATAAAATATAAAAAAGACGTGATTCTCTATTGATTGACTAAAAGAAAGCGTATTTTTGTCTATGGTTTCTATAAAATATATTTGAATTTCCAAGACCATTGAAAATCAATGGGAAAAATGCATGCTAGATAAGTAGTCATTTTTTACCGAGCACGCTTTCTACAGGAGATTGAAAAGAAGTGCATTTAAAAGCCGACATCCTGCCGAGTCCAAAATGTTATAAGAGTGTGCTTTAAGATAATCAGTATTACAACCGCGACCCAGTAATCCTTCCTAATCAAAAACGCATTTCAGAATTTCAGCCAACATTTCATGAGATAGGTCACGCACTGTATATAGTGTGCACCAGCGTGGTTGTAGTAGCGGATGATCCTACATCACCAACTTGCTGATGTTCATGGAAATCTAAACAGAATCTCTAGAAACACTTATAAGCAGTTTAGGAATGATTAAACCATACTTCGCACATCGTGAAATTACCCGACGGCTCGCTTTCACCCAGAGGTTAGCCTTCGCGGACGCCGATGCAGCCTCGAGACAACGTGCATCAAACTTTGTATATATATATATATATATATATATATATATATATATATGTAGATCATTTTTCTCACATCGAGTTGTGGGAGACTGAAACAAACTACCCGACATCGTCGTCTTGGTGGAAGAGATTACAACTGTCACAAGAAAATTACATATACTTACTTAGCGACCGCATATATTACCCACTGACACACCATATCCTCATTCCGATGTAAACATGGTCCTGTCTTTCGATCCCTATCTGTGCAGTTAGGGTTCTTCAGGATTCCATGCATCTTTCCTAATGTACACTGACTAATAATTTTGGAAATGAAGGCGTGGCAGCAAATTTAATGACACCAACAAGACTTTCCCTTCAAGAAAAAGCTTCTTGTGTTTCGTATTGCTGGATTTGAAGTCTCAGTCAGTTTTTACTGGACATGCATCTAACCATATCTACACATCCGCATCCGAGGGCCGGTAATAGGGCGACAAGAGCGCGATCATTTCATCAAAAATGGCGCAACACCGCGGTAAAGACGCTGAAACGCCACGCCGGCGCATACACGCGCCCGCCTACAACTTGCGCCAGCGAGTCTGCGATGCAGTGTAAAGTTCTGTGCACTTGGGGGGAGGGGGGGGGAACAGACTGTGAATCACTCGAAGATGTATTTATCTTCCGCTTCTTAATCACAGAATCTAGTCCTTGAGAGTTCATTCAGGCATTCACGAGCAGACACATGAGTAGGTGGTGAGGAGTAGACAACAGTGGGAAAATGCAGGCAGGTTATTGAAATGCGAGAGGTAACGTCTGGTTGAATATTGATGCTATAAACCAAGTTTGCGGAAATGGGAACGATAACGAACGATGGAAAAATAGTTAAGGGTGACAATATTGTAAACTCGGCGGGTACAAGTATATACGCTGGAATGGAATGTGGAAAACAGAGAACAGTAACGAAATCGTAGAACCGCGTAGGTACAAATACATAGGGAAGCGGATGGATAGAAAAATATCGGAGGTTAATTTTATCGAATTGTTGATCGTCGGTGGCAGTCCGCACGCGATCAGGTGTCACGATTGATCTACAAAAGAGTGATCACCGATTAAAACAAAGAGGTTTATGTCCATCAAGTCTGCTGGTGTGTTACAGCAGTCAGCCGTAGTGCTCACAGGGGGCGAGACTTTGCGCAGAAGACGACGTTAGCGACTGTCACCGTGGCAGCCACGCAAGAAGGGAACAGTTCCCAAGCAGGCACAGTCAGCTACAATGGTAGGGGGCGCTCATCGATCGTTCTTACGGAACTCACTCGTTCCGTTGTGCCTTGCGGACTCTCTCATTGTATATTCCCAATCGAAACCGATAGGGCCAAGGGCTCGTGGCCCAGTGGTTAGAGGCGTGGACTTCTAACTAACAGGTCGCGAGTTCGAGCCTCGGGTGTTCCACACTTCGGGGTTGGGTAGGACTGGCTGAGGACGGCTAATAAGCCAGAAATGGCCATTCCAATCTCCCTTGTCTTTGTCGGTAATAACATACGGTCAGGTACGTTTGTAAGGCTCTGCACCTACAGTCAGCGACCGATCTCATGAAATGTTAACAGAAATTCTGAAGTGCGTTTTCGATTAGGAAGGATTACTTACATGAGGTTGGAAAGGTAATTATCACGCGGCGTAATCCCATGGTATTCCAGACACGCCAGGATGCTAGTTTTTGAATGCACTGCTTTTCGACCTGTAGAATCTGCACTTGGTTAGAAACGGTTACATATGTATTATGCATTGTTCGCACTGATTTTCGATGCTCTTTAGGTTCAAATATATTTTTTAGAAAACATGCACAAGGATATTCTCTTTTGAACACATTTGGTAGCAAATTACGCTTTCTTCAAATGTTATGCTCAAAGAAATGGTATCTTTCGGTTTTGAAAAAGTTTCTTATTACGGAATTGTTTAAGACCGGCTCATGTCGATTCATATAGCATGGTATCTGTCCGCTTATTAACTTTCCTCATGAAGTATACAGTATCATCCGCATACATTGCAAAATCTTGTGATCTTTACTTAGCATCTTTTTAAAGACATAGAGGAACATATGATTTTACTTGCGTGAAATGAATGCCCCCTGTAGACTTAAATCGTTAAACGCTAATGCAACGGCTGATCTGGCTGAGAATTACCCGTCAATTGAAGTGTGTCAATCTTCGAGTGTGAATTGCGAAGATTACGTGATCGCAACTGAATCTGTGTGAGAAAGAATATCGTTGTGCATGTTTTCTGCGAGGTCCTTTTTGCCAAGTACGGCTTCTACAGGGGGTCGAAAAGATGCACATTCAAAAGCCGAAATCCCGGAGAGTCCGAAATATCATAGGATTATGCTGCGTGAAATCACTTTTAAAACCCTTCTTAAGTATCCTTTCCTAATCGAAAACATATTTCAGAATCTCGGCTAACATTTCATGAGCTCGGTCACTGACTGCGAGTGGAGGGCGACTTTTGAGCTTGTGCGGACATAGTCCCAAGGTTTCCAGCCAATAGCCTCTTCAGTATCTGTCCAGGACAATGACTGACTCAGATATATCGATGAGGAGCTATACACCCTAGGAGATCCTTCTCCAGGTCAAGAGTAAAAATCGACATAAAGATAGAACTTATTTTTCCAAACTTTCCGCTTATTCTTGACTACATCCTCAGAAATATATGGAAAAGAGGAAAGAGAACTTTAAATTCGTGCACATTGAAAGAGCAAATCAACCTCGCGTCCCTACCAATGATTATCTCGACTGCTCTAACTATCGTCATTTACGTAAGTGGGGTTAAGCTCCTCATTACACAGGACACAGTAAGCTAGAGAAGGAACCTCAAGGCACTCAGTTTTAGACTTATGATCGGATCGTCATGCCGCGATCAACTCTCGTTCTAACCTGCTTCTGGTTTTTTAACAGGAAAGACGGACTTGCAGTTTTGGCCCTACCAGTGAGCAATCATAATTTGTATTTGCCTCACCACTAAATGACAATTTTGCTTTGTTCAATGCATTCTGCCCTCGTCTGGCCTGCATAAATTTGGAGGCAGTCAGCGCATGCAGTCGAAATGAAAGTAATCTACGAAGAGGGCAGAGTCAGGAATTCGAGAATGGGCTCAGACTTCAGTTATACACATAGTATTGGGCGTCACTCCGAGGGCACTGTCCCGATTTGGGCCATCTTGCTCATGGCAGATCTAGCATTTGGTAATATAATTTCCAGTGCGTTTTGAGCAGCACAGCTGTCGTCGACGGCATTTAAAAACATTTGGCGGTAGATATGTAAGCTGTAAACTATTTTTATTTGGGAAGTAAGTATCAGTGAGTCCAGAGTCACTGACATATTGGAAGTCCACATTGACTCAACGGTGAAAACCTCGATGCCTCGGTGGGATTCGGCCCCACGACAGCAAGGGAAGCCTTTAGTACAGCCAACGTTCTAGCCACCTGAGCTACGAGGCCCCAGCGAACGACACGAGTTTAATCACATTTGGTTCAAGTTTACTCACCCAACCTACTGCAGCGTCTGGAATCCACAAAATCTGATAAACTGACTGACCAAGCAGGATTTCCCAAGTAATACATATAGAATCCATTAGATGACTACAAGGCCCACACAATTCAGAGGTGTTTTGGCAGATTTCAAATAATTCACTTTAACCCAATTGTGAAAAACTCGTTTCCTCCGTGGGATTCGAATCCACGACAGCAAAGGGGGGCTCTAGTACAGCCAAATGTGATTAAACTCGCGTCATTCTGTGGGGCCTCGTAGCTGAGATGGTTAGAGCGTTGGCTGTACTAAAGCCTCCCCCTGCTGTCGTGGGTTCGAATCGGGACAGTGCCCTCGGAGTGACGCCCAATACTATGTGTATAACTGAAGTCTGAGCCCATTCTCGAATTCCTGACTCTCCCCTCTTCATAGATTACTTGCATTTCGAATGTTCAAACCGCATAACAAGGCGTGGGGATGGTTGCCCAACTCACTCGGTTACCTGGTTGCCTCCTTATTCACGAGAGACTTCGGCTTCGCATCTGTCACTCTCACGCCGCAAAGAAAGGCAATTACTGGCTGTATCTACAATCCCAAAAACTTCTCAGCCAATGATGACGTACAACTTTGTAAAATCCTTAAATTAATTTCGGAGTCTGCTTTCGATGTAAAGATAATCGATGAGGATTTTAACCTTCCTGAAATAGATTGGGTTTCCAATATCTGCCCACCTAGTTTCCAACTTTTCAAAGGTTTTTTCAATTTACCTAAATGTTCTCAGCTTTTGCGCTCTCTAACAAGAGATAATCACACTAAACATCTTATTTTTACCAATGACGTTGTCCCTTTTTTTTACTTTCAAATAAATTGCGATTTCGTGGACAACAACGTAATAACTTACTATCTTGAATCACCGGATTTGTGTAGATTTTTCTTCCCTAGTGATGCAAACATTCTTCGTGACGGCATGTCCAGTGTTTCCAAAGCGATTTAAGGATTTGTGCGTCATAGATATTTCAAGTCAATCTCTTCGGATTCCCTTGTTCCTCACTTTCTTTGCGACAAACAAAAAAGTTAAGACGGCAGCTGTGCGGCTTTCCCACCAGTCCTTTACCCGTTGATCAAAGAACACATAAATGTTTAAAGTGGCCTTGAGGATGTGTTCATCGCGCGACAGACAAAGAGAATCACTAGCTCGCAGTGATCCGGACCCTGCCCAATCCTTCGCTAGAATCTTCCGTTATCGATCTTGCTCGAAGCATGGTCACGAAATTCCAGCTTCGCTAAACGATAACGAAATCTTCCTCATCGATGACACTGACAAGGCGGAGTTTTCTACTGCTGTCTTTGCAAAACACCTTACTACTGATTCCGGACCAGTCCCTTTCTTTCGTACACATTTAGATAGGGCAGTGAGTACAAACGATATCTCCTCAGATCTAATTGAGGAACACAAGTCGTTTGATAATCTCACGCTGCTCGGAAACGGACGGGATTTCAAGTCCCATCACAAAACAAACATCTAACCCTCCTATATTACTTAGTCATTTGTTCTCGGTTTTATATAAGTTTTGCTACGCCCCCAAAACCGATCCACCTGTACTAAAAATCGACTGCCAAAGAAGGCACACAAACCGAAAGGCCTTATTAAGCACACCAGCACAATCAAAACACCCTAAGTATATAGATATAACAAATAGAAGTTCTCCAAACTCTAACCAGAAGCAAATAAGCTTCTATAGGTGAGCCTCCACACCCCAAAATCCACCTGCATGGCATAGGAATAAGCCAAACCATTCTAGCATTCCAAACTTCTTACCACATAATGACAACCCTACAAATTACTTCGACTTTTTACCAGCCGAAACTGCGCTTAGGTACGATTGTCACCTAGTTAACCCACCTTCCCATATGTACACTCAATCCATACACACTAATCCATGCACTCACACAAAAAATTCCCCCATAATATTCGAGGATAATGAAATAACGGAGGCCCAATCGGTAAAAGATTTAGGTCTCAGCTATACAAATAACCTCGATTTACCTCCCCAAGTCCAACAAATATCACCAAAAGCCACTCGCCTACACTCCCAAAAACAAGAGCCAGCCAATCACGGGAGGCCATGTGCGTTTTCTCTACTGCGCTGTCATCTTAATCGTGGCGCCTCTCCATTGGCTTTTCCTCGCGGGCCTGATCGATCAGCATATTCGAATTATCGACCGGCTCGTCTCGAATGTTCTTCCCGAAGGGCATTGGGCCGAACGCCGGCGAAGCACCGTAAGGCGTTATAAATACGCGTTACTTCCAATTCATTTTGACTTGCATTTTCCTAATACACAGTTTTATGGCCGGTCGCGTTCTCCTTCTCTGCCGCGTTGGTATTGGGGACAAGGGTCGAATGCGCATACGCTCCACAAGATTTCACGTACCAGGCGGGTCATAACAAATTGGCCACGCAGTTTTTCAACTACAATGGCTGACGAGTACGCAGACTTGAAGCAGATGTTGCAGCAGCAGCTGAAGCTGATGGAGGCTCTGACCGTCAAGCTATCCAATTAATCCATGGGCCAATCAAGCGCGGCTGGTGGTTCACAATCTGTTGATCACATTGCCGACAGCATCACTGAATTCCTGTATGACCCGCAGGCCCATATCACCTTTGAGTCCCGGTACAAGCGATACGAGGATTTGTTCTCTGTCGATCTGGCTGCCCAGGACGATGCATGGAAGGATCGACTTCTACTTCGCAAACTGGGTCCGGCTGAACACGAGCGTTATGCAAACTTCATCCTCCCCAAGAATACCCGAGAGGTCGCTTTCAAGGACACGGCTGAGACGTTGTCACAGATTTTTGGTGAGCAATCATCCCTCTTCAACACTCGATTTCAGTGTCTGCAACTGTGCAAACGAGATTCCGATGATTTCATCACGTATGCGGGCATTGGCAATCGTGAGTGTGGGCGTTTTCAACTCGGTTCTCTTACTGAAGACCAGTTTAAATGCCTTATATTTATCTGCGGTCTCCAGTCCCCCAAGGATGCTGATATCCGGACACGTCTCCTGTCCAAAGTGCAGCAGAGCAACTCCACCACTCTCCAAGAGCTGGCAGCAGAGTGCCAAACGCTGATCAATCTCAAGCACGACTCTGCAATGATTCAGAACCCGGCCTCATCTTTCTCAGTCCATACGGTCACATCGACCAAATCGCATCCTGTTACACGACCCAAGCAAGTGTCCAAGTCGAGATCTCTGCCATCTCCTTGTCGGCACTGTGGCGCGTGGCATTTCCACCGGGATTGCACTTTCCGCCAGCATCGCTGCCAAAGCTGTAATCAGGTGGGACACCGTGATGGGTTCTGCAAATCAGTACCAGCTTCTGGAGGCAAGCCGACCCCCGCCATTCCTAATTCCATGCATCGTTTCCGGCCAAAACGCAAGTCCAAACTCCAGTCCGTTGGTAATTCTCTGAGTCTCTTGGCCGCTTTCCAGCTTAATGCGTCTGGTCGTCGAAAATTTGTTGACGTTTTGCTCAATGGCCATGCAGTTCGCCTACAGTTGGACACTGCCTCAGATATCACCATCATCTCTGAGAGACTCTGGCAGTCCCTTGGCAGTCCCACGATGCAGCCGACTTCCCAGTCCGCCACAAGCGCGTGCGGTGGTCTCGTACAGCTAATTGGGCAGCTGCAATGCTTTGTGTCGTTCCGCGGTACCAGCATCACTGCGATCTGCTACATCACCAAGTCTGATCTAAACCTACTTGGTCTCGACTGGATTGAACAACTTGGGTTGGCCGATATGCCGCTCCGCGTTGTTTGCAGTCAGGTGCAGATTTCCGCTGTGCTTGCAGACCAAGCCAAGGACATTCTCCAACGCTTTGCTCCAGTGTTCCAAGACGGTCTGGGTCGTTGCACATACACTCAAGCCGTGCTACATCTGTCTCCTGGAAGTCAACCAGTCTTCCGTCCAAAGCGACCAGTCCCATATGCAGCCCTACCACTTGTCGAGGCTGAACTGAAGCGTCTAGAGGAATTGTGAGTTCTGGTTCCTGTATCCTACTCCGCCTGGGCCGCTCCAATCGTTGTGGTTAAGAAGCCCAATGGCTCGGTCCGCATTTGTGCTGACTTCTCCACCGGTCTCAATGCCGCGCTGACGCCGAACTGCTATCCATTACCGGTTCCGGCTGATCTTTTCACCCTGCTAAATGGTGGCACTTGCTTTGCCAAGTTGAATCTTGCTGATGCGTATCTGCAGATCGAGGCCGCCCCAGAGTCGCGCGAATTGTTGATCATCAATACCCACCGCGGTCTGTTCCAATACACCAGGCTGCCCTTTGGTGTCAAGACCGCCCCGGCCCTACTTCAACAAACGATTAACGCAATGCTCTCCGGCATCCCTGGCACAGCTGGGTACTTGGATGACATCATCATCGTGGGTCGCTCCCCTGCCGAGCTGCAAGACCGAGTGTGCGCAGCACTCGAACGCGTGCAGGAGTATGGCTTTCGCCTACGGGCCGAGAAGTGCCAATTCTTCCTCAACTCCATCAAGTACCTTGGATTCGTTTTTGACGCCAATGGTCGCCATCCAGATCCTGAAAACATTCAGGCCATCCAACGGATGCCTGCCCCCAAGAATGTATCGCAACTTCGTTCGTTCCTTGGCCTGATCAGTTACTATAGCGCCTTCCTACCATCGCTGCATGACGTACGGGCCCCGCTCAACCGTCTGTTGCAGAAGAATGCGCCTTGGCGCTGGTCCCCCGACTGTGAAAAGGCCTTCGCCCAGCTAAAGTCGATGCTGAGTTCAGATCTGTTGCTCACGCACTACGACCCGACGCTGCCGATCTTTGTTGCTGCAGATGCTTCCAACCACGGAGTTGGTGCCGTCATCTCACATACTTTTCCTGATGGGTCTGAAAAGGCGATCATGCATGCATCTCGCACGCTAACCCCCGCGGAGAAGAACTATGGGCAAATAGAGAAAGAAGCTCTAGCTCTCGTGTTTGCCGTCAAGAAATTTCACAAACTGTTGTACGGTCGCCACTTCACGTTGTTGACGGATCACAAACCATTGCTGTCAATCTTCGGTTCGAAGAAGGGCATTCCCGTCTACTCAGCCAGCCGACTTCAGCGATGGGCAACCATCCTTCTTGGCTACGACTTTGACATTCGCTACTGTCGTACTACAGACTTTGGTCAGGCTGACGCCCTTTCTTGCCTCATCAGCAATCAGCAGGAACCGGAGGACGATACCGTGATTGCAGCTATTTCGATTGAGGACGGTGTGCGCCGTCAGCTATCAGACGCCATACGAGGTATCACTGTCACTGCCGCGGACATCCGAAGTGCTACTGAACAGGATCCTGCCCTCCGCCAGGCCATCACCTACGTGCAGACCTGCTGGCCAACCACTGCTCTCGCTGGCGATCTTCGCCAGCTCTTCCTCCGCCGAACATCGCTATCTGTGGTTGACTCCTGCCTCATGTTTGCAGACCGTGTGGTGATCCCATCTTCCCTCCGACCCACTGTACTACGCCAGTTCCATGCGGCTCATCCTGGTGCCAGCCGAATGAAGTCTATTGCTCGCAGTTTTGCCTACTGGCCGGGTATCGACGGCGACATCGACGACCTGGTTCGACGCTGTTCTCGATGTCAGCAAGCTTCCAAGATGCCGCCTCGTCAACCTCCAATACCCTGGCAACCACCGGAGAGGCCTTGGTCACGAATGCATATCGACTTCGCTGGACCACTTAACGGAGTCTCCTACCTAATCTTGGTTGACGCCTACTCGAAATGGCCCGAGATTGCTCCGCTGAATCCAGCAACCGCATCTTCCACTATCGCCTTCCTACGACGCATCTTTAGCCAACATGGCTTACCAGAAGTCCTGGTTTCAGATAATGGCTCTCAGTTTACTTCGTCGTCGTTTGAGGATTTCTGCCGCCAGCACAACATCCAGCATCTTCGCTCCCCGCCCTACCATCCTCAGTCTAACGGTCAGGCGGAGCGTTTTGTCGACACGTTTAAGAGAGTCCTTTTGAAAGCTCGTGGGAAGGGGACCACGGACGAGATAGTCCAGGCGCTCCTGTTTTCCTACAGGACGACACCGAACCCGGCGTCCCCTGGTGGCGTTTCTCCTGCCGAAGCGTTGATGGGCCGAAAACTGCGTACAACGTTTCATGCCCTCGTCCCTACCGGTGCGCAGCCCGCGCAGACTTCTCCAGTTTCTCGCAGCAAGCTCTCCATCGGAACACCTGTCTTCGTTCGTAATTATCGAGCGGGGTTCCCAGACTGGATTGAAGCAACCGTAGTATCGCACAGAGGCAGTATGTTGTTTGACGTCGACGTTGGTGATTACATCTGGGTTCGCCACCACAACCATATCCGACGGCGACATTGCAGTAACACAACTGGGCTCGATTCGGCGCTGTCACTCTCTCTCTCGACATCCTACTGGATACCTTCGCCATTCCGGCAGATCAGTCAGTTCCCGAATCCACTTCTGCGCCCCCTTCGGATATACCATCTTCGGTATCAGTTACCGCTCCCGTACCTCCAGGCATTAAACCACGACTAAGACGCCGGACCAACCGCGTGCGCCGATCAACACGTCTGATGCAGATCAACCCACGCCAGAAGCGGTACTGACCTACTTGGAGGGGAGGTGTTGTGAGTGCCTACACTCCCAAAAACAAGAGCCAGCCAATCACGGGAGGCCAAGTGCGTTTTCTCTACTGCGCTGCCATCTTAATCGTGGCGCCTCTCCATTGGCTTTTCCTCTCGGGCCTGATCGATCAGCATATTCGAATTATCGACCGGCTCGTCTCGAATGTTCTTCCCGAAGGGCATTGGGCCGAACGCCGGCGAAGCACCGTAAGGCGTTATAAATACGCGTTACTTCCAGTTCATTTTGACTTGCATTTTCCTAATACACAGTTTCATGGCCGGTCGCGTTCTCCTTCTCTGCCGCGTTGGTATTGGGGACAAGGGTCGAGTGCGCATACGCTCCACAGGATTTCACGTACCAGGCGGGTCATAACAATTCGAGGATAATGAAATAACGGAGGCCCAATCGGTAAAAGATTTAGGTCTCAGCTATACAAATAACCTCGATTTATCTCCCCAAGTCCAACAAATATCACCAAAAGCCACTTGCCTGTGTAGATTCATATGTAAAAATTTCACCTTAATGCATTAGGAATACAACTTTTCAAAATGTACGTTTTATCTCTCCTAGATTATTGCTCAATTTTCTTCGGCATAATGCCCTCAGACGGCCAAAAGAAACTAGACGACATTAAGTGACGTTTAACTAGGTCCTTGTCCAGACGTAATGGCACCCAGGGTTCATAAATACGGTCTTCGATCCCTCTGGATCAGAAGACTCCGAAATGGTCTAAACTT